GAGATACAGGAAGTGTTGAAGGCTTTGATGAGTGTCGGTTCAGTTGGTGAGGCCTGATTTTTTAGGCAGCAGATGGATGACCTGGCACAAAACAATAAAATGTGAAGTGGAACTTTCTCAACCGAAGTGTCGGGAGAAGCCTGGGTTTAACAACATTAGTGTGATCATGTAAGTAACCCACATCATGCCTCCTGTAAATGAAATACATGGGAAGGATTCTGGGATGGGGGAGGTGACAGCATGGGTTTGCAGTTCCCACATTAAAGCAACATTATAACGACACTGACAGCAAAACTAGGTAACAAGACGTCCTCAAAACCCCCAAAATACGAGCAGGTGGGGATTAAGCCCCAGCAGCTCCAAGACCTGCAGGGACACTGGTGTCGCGGAGGGGCAGCCGGGCGGCATCTGACAGACCTGAGAACCCAGCATAGCCGTCAGGACTGAGGGCGGGGTCACTCCGTCCCCCAGGATGCACAAAACCAGCCTGCCAGAGATCCCTACCAGGACCGGGCCTCACACTGAGGAGGAGTTGCTGAGAGTGGGACCCATGGGACGGGGCGGGGACAACAGCTGAGGGGGCGTCCAGGTCAAGGTTGGGAGGGAGGCAGAGCGGGCAGTCCCAGGAGTCAAGTGGCCACACTTCACCATGACACAGAAACAACACAAGAATGAATCCGAAGTTAACAAAGCTTTCCCGAATCCTTAGTCCCAGAAGCTCAGGAAAATTAACTTTACATAAAAATGAACAAAATAATGGTCTCACGGCCAAATTCCATATGAAGTTTTTAGGAAACAGAACAAGAAGCAAACACCCTGTGGAAGATGGAAGCCTTCCAGGAGCACGTGCCCACAAAAGAGAAGTGATTTTTGTTGCAAATTGAGCTCAAAGTTTTTAAGAAATAGTAAATGAAAGAACAACATCAAATTAGAATTTTAAGAACCAAGATGACAGAACTCAGGAAACAATATTTCAGAATTGTAAACAGAAACGTAAGAGCAGATAGATAAACAGATAATGCCTTAAAAAGAAGGTGTAAAGAAGATGTAAGAAAAATATTTAAAAATCAAGAAAGATTTAAAGATTTATTAAAAAGTGAAAAAGTGACATTGAAAATAGGCAAAGAAGTTCAAGCATGTAATTAATAGGAGTTCAGAAAACCAAGGCATTAACAGTCATTAAAATCAGAGATTCTTTCCTGAAATTAGAAAAAAATGTGTTGAAAGAACACACCAAATAACTAATATTGACCTAAAATAATCCTCAATAAGACACATTCTAGAGAAATTTCTGGACCATAAAGAAAAGCAAAGCTTTTGGGCATCTGTTTAAAAGGGCATATGACCTGGAAAGGAAATTACCAGATTATCAGAATTTTCAACAGGAGCCCTTCATACCAGATGCAAATGGAGTGATATATTTAAGATTCTCAAGGAAAGAAAGTCAAGGATTTTGGATCCAACAAAACCGACTTTCAAGTATAAAAGGCACAAGTTGTTACCTGCATTTAAGAATTCAAGAAATTCTCTGCCCAGGATCCCATCTTGCAGAATCAATCACAGAACAAGTTTCAGCCCACCAAGATGTCTTAGAGACATCAGCGTTAAATACTTCATTGCTTGTAGAAATAAGACTAAGTGAAGGCCAGCAGGGAGGAGGCATTGTCCTTGGTGACTATACCCTTGCACGTGAGGATTTAGTACCATCATTACAAAACATGGGGAGAATGTATGCAAAAAAAGGTGTATTTTCAGTAATCACATTGGTGGTCTTATTCTGGTTGTGTATGTCGTAGATGAGCAACACGGTACAAATGAGTGTTTCTGGGACACCCTGCTTCTATCGCCCTCGGAGTCTTGGAGAGTCAGGAGTCTCAGAATGGCAGGAAGGAGTCCCCGTTGCAGTCGATAACAACTCTGTAGCTGTGATCTGGATTAGGAGTGTCAACATGAGGTCATGAGAGAGTTTATGTACATGTGTGTCTGTGTAATCTACTAACCATCCCCTGGAAAGACCTAAAAATAAAAAAGACCCACCCAGGGAGCATCTCTAGCACCCAAATTTTGACCCTGAAATGTAATTTCTCCTTAAAAGAAACCAAGGCTTTTTAGAGATGTGGCTGATTCCAGGTCTGGAACAAAAAATGTACAAGGTGACCCTGAAAGATCTTGTCATAGCAAATAGCAAGGAAACTGTCAAGGATGAGTAGGATTTTGTCAAAAGGAAGCA